AAGGAAGGAAGGAAGGAAGGAAGGAAGGAAGGAAGGAGCAAGCAAGCAAGACAGCCTAACCCTTGGTATAAAGCTTTTACCACCCTCTTTTTCCATTTGCAATAACAATGTTACATGCTCCAAATTTCCTCCATCCTCAGAGGAATTAGAAATGACTTCAGAAAAAGAGAAAACCTCCAGAATTAACCAAGTCACTTAAGTTCTCCACCCATTAATAGCTCAACACTCCTTGTCCAATTAAAGCAAATTACAGGATTTGATTTTTTTAAATACGGGGGGAAAAAAAACCCTTCAGGATGACTTTCAAACACATCTGTAGCCTCGCTCTTGCCTGTATGGAAAGATGCTGATTAAAATTTGCCTTTGGGTGACTCACACATGAATGTGTAAATTGAAGACAGTACCAGATCACAGTGTGAAGGCATGATTTGGATAATATTGAGAGGACTCTACAGTGGATTTCATCGTGGATGCCTCAGTATACACCCCCCACACACAAACATACAGACACACCAATAATACAAATATTGCTAGGCAGATAACTGTTGACAATCTAGCTCTTAATGAACTTCATTCTACTCACCGGGAGGTGTTTATCCAGTTCAACAAGTTCTTACATAGGGTGCGGTGCTGCTGCCAAGAGGCTGGATTTTGAAACTGTTGTTCCTGCTTGTACTCTCACTTATGCGCAGGAGATCAGACAGCGAACACAGGGGCAGCCGTGGACTTCTGCTCCAGCCGTGCATGATTGCTCTGCTCCATGGCCACTTCTAATCTGAAAGATCAGGTACTGGGTCCTCAGGCAGATGTTTGCTGTGTTGTGGGTAACCTAAACCCCTGGAAGAGGCTGACAGTTTCTTGAGAGGTTTCCTAACTGCTGATTTCTTTCCAGGCATGGATCCCCAAATATTTCAAGAAAAAAGTCTGCACAACTTTCATTGAGCAACCTGGTGAAACAGGGTGAGTGAAGCTTGATTTTCTCTGCTCTTTGAGATACAGGTAACTGGGCACTTCTAGCTCCCTCTGAGGCTCATTTACAGTGTAGCTTTTTAATGTTTTTCTCTCAAATCTGTATCATAATCCCCATGTGAGTCTTAAGTTTCACTCATGCTAACCATATTTTACATTTCAGCACCGTCAAATTCTGGGCAGAGCATTTGGCTCAATGTATTCATGGCATCCTCTATGCCAGGATTCCTCAACCTTGGCAACTTTTAAACGGGTGGACCCACCTCCAGAATTCTGGGGGTTTAAGTTCACCCCGCTTTAAGTTGCCAAAGGTTTAGGATCC